AAATATAGTTGATAAATTTTGATTAAAATTAAGGATTACAAAAGATATGTTAGATATACAATGATGCAGAAAATTATCAAAATTATTTGTTAAGAATTTTTTTTTATAGCTATATAAATATTTTTGTTAAAGATGTGTCAAATTTTTTATTTTATTTTAAGTAATTATATTATATAAAATTAGGGAATTATTTTGGTATAATATTTGTTTCTTTAATTGACTTTTATTTAATTTTTTTTTTTTTTTAAAAAACCATTAAGGACTTACTATAAGATGACACGTTTCATTATTGGTGTGTCTTTTAGTATATTGTTATTGATATAAGTCATAGATAAATTTACCCATGTAGAGCAAGTAGTTTAGTATTGGAAAGAAAGTAGTAGGGTCATAGGCCTTGTTGCAAGTCTTGGAACTACTAATCAACTATACATAACGTTTCATGTGAAGGGAATGTGCAATTCAGAAGATTAACGATTGGTAGTACAAAACCTTCAGCGTCTCCATCTAAAATTGTCTTTCACTTTCACTTTCACTTTAATTGTTGGAAAACAAACAGTGCCTTAGTTAGGATTACATTACTTTCCAAAAATAAATCTTCTAAGTTGAGAATTCAGTGGCATCTTACCAAATATAACAACTAGGCAGACAGCTCTTTTGTCTTGTTGTACACGTGCTACAGCCTCATGAAGACACGTATGATTGCACATGGTAGTCGTTTAATCTTTACAAAAATCATTGTGCTTCTTCTTGTTTTTCATCCAATGCCATGTTTGGATGCTGCAAAAGTGAGATGGCATGATATTATTATTAACTACTTGTATATATGCTCCATTATTAATTATTGTAACGTGGGATCCATTATTAGCAATTTGCCATGTTTCATAATTGAGGGAAGTAATATAATTGTGTAGAGTAGTTACTAGCTAGAGTGAAAAAGTACCGATCGAGTTTAATTATGGTAATCTTTAGATTCTATTCTTTTGAGATTCTAAACAAAGCAGAGTAGTCAGCGAAGTAGAGCAAGATAACTCTAAAGAACAGGGTCTTATCGGTTTGTTAGGTTGAAGCTATATACTAGTCATTAATTACAGAGTATAAAAATATTAGATAAATCCGTTTTTGTAGAACTTATTATGACAAATATGGTAAATCGGTGTAAATACAATTAGCTAAATCTAACATTTTCTTTTGTAGGCTACGTGTATCATTTTTCCATAAAATGGTCAGGATAATTAATTTTGGAAGGATGGGTCATGACAAAATTAGGGATGGATGATTAGAGCTGTTTGATGCTCCTATATATAATAGTTTACATGCTTCTGTAGTCTTGAGTCTTGAATTGTTGCACATGGTTCTTAGGCTATTAGCTAATCAATGTGAATGTATATTAGAAGCAGAAGCAATAATTATGTCAAATAGATAACCTTTTTAAATTGTAGACTTCATAATGTCAAGTTGATTAACATTTTAATTAAGCTTAAAAGTTTAGTCTAGATAGATAGGCGTACTTTCTACTTAAAGTAAACTATATATAGTTAAATGTTGATTAAAGTTGTCTGATATGAATTATAGTACCTTCTCTAATGGTTTACAAGCTCATCCAGAAGGCTACAAAAGTTGATAATAAATGAAGTTTGAATTCAAATACAAAGAACTTGTTATATTGGACCATTTAAATGAATGAATATTAATTTCATTGACTTTTTGTACGTACATACATTTGCCATGATGAATGATTATTTCTCTATATTTGTTTGTGTTAATTGTAGGGTCGTCAAAAGGGTCATATCGTGTTTAGTTCGTATTTATGATATGATGATAGCATTAAACGAGTTGTAATATTTGCAAAATGCTCGACCTAAACCTAATTAACACATCTATATATTAAACGGGTTGAAAATCATTGATCTAACTCTAACTTACAGATTAAGCGAAACTATCCAAGTAACCTTTTACCTAGTTAAGCTTTAGTAAAAAAAGGAGATATGCACACACAAAAAAAAAAAAAAAAAAAAACCCTCCATACAACGCAGTCATATGTATAAGAATCTTGCAAATGAATATCAAACACAAATCCTTATCGATTGTATCTTCAAAATGCCAACTACTGACATGCAAAAAGATACTACTATACATTCATAACTTTTAATTACATAAAAAAATATTAAATAAAAACCCAAAAATTTAAAAAAAAAAAAAAAATCACATTAGACAGTGGGGTGAGAGTAATCAGAGTATGATAAGAAGCTTAGATGTTATGTAACTAAGGCGGGTTCTACTAACAAGTTTAATTTCGTGTGAGGTTGGTGATGAATTTGATCGAAAATAGTTAGCTTAAACCTTTTTATTTCAGGGCGAGTTTATGCTAGGTTAATGTTATAATATCAGCTTTATTTTATCACTGTCTTTAATTAATTTGTGTAAAGTGGCGGTTTTGGGGAGGTTGTTATGTATAAACTAGTTTTATTACCCCTAATTGATTTGTATAATAATTGTATACATGCATGGGACATTGGGACGAAGCTTTTATTGGAGTCCAAAGACGTCTTGAACCCCCCCCCCCCAAGGCCCCTTTTTTTTTTTTTTTTTTTTTTTTTTTTTTTTGCAATTTTTGTATCTACCATCTCTTATATTAGCCAATATATATAATCTCATTTGGGAAATTGTTAGTGTAGCAACGTCATGATTCATGACAATCTTTGCAAACAAATTTGGGTTTACAATCAAAAAACAGTTGATAGATGGATCACCTAACCTAATTTGTGACAATTATCCATAACCTAAACTAATCTGTTAGTGGACCATCTCAACCAAAAGCTTAAGCTGAAAGGCCCTCGCAAACCTGGCGCGAATTAATTCCACTTTTAAAAAAGGGATGGATGAGATTCGAACCCGTGACCTCTATGTCACGTTGGCTCCGATACCATGTTAAAGGACCAACTCAACCAAAAGCTTAAGTTGATGGTTGAGGTTCAGGAATATGTTTTATTGATGGATGCAACACAGACCCATCCAGACCTGGTGCGAATATGTTATATACTGTATCATAATCCATAAAATATTTCTTGTAATAATGTGAATGTCAAATAAAGTGGTTAGAATAAGTGAATAACGTGGTCCCAAGAATATAGATAACAAATTAAAATTATTAATAAACATTGATAGGTGTTCTTTCTACCACCGATTTGAGCATTCTCCCAATAAATTAACTAATAGTTTAGATTTATTTTGTCTTGATATTTGATAGAGATTGTCTTACCTTTTTTTTTTTTTTTTTTTTTTTGGTTAAAAATGAAAATAATAATTGTTTTGCCATAAATTTTGAGCAAAAAAGATGGGTTTTTAGGTGCATTATCAAATCATCATTTTCAAACGAAGTTACTACAAATGAACTGTATCACCTATATGATCAATAATTTGGTGGCACAGTTATGGTTTTTCGTAAGTGTTGTCCAAGGATTGAAGCTACACTAGACCACATTCCTTTAGAAATTCATGTGGGATCTTTATTAGAGTTTCGATTATTCAGGAAATATAATTGTTGAGTGTTATCCTCGATTGGTAAATTTTGTCAATCAAGTTGCTTTTTTTGCAATCTTTTTAATTTGTAAAGAGTACATATAATATGCTCAATACCTATTGAACATGCAAAACATTGCATCTGGTTTTCCAAATACAAATAACCTATTAACCTGAAAAGAAAAGAGAAAAGTATTACTAATTACACTCGCTATAACATATAAAAAATAAAATTAAAAAAAAAATAAAAAAAATAAATTCATATATGGCTGGCCACACCATGTGACTAGGGTACTTATTTAAAGGTTACTCGGTCAATCAAGGGTTACTTATGAGGTTGGTCGGTCAAGACATACTAGAAAAAACGCTGTTAAATAATTCTCTCAATGTGTTTCTCTGTAATTTCTCATTCATATATATAACTCGGCCACAATACAATATTTATATAGTTAGAATACATTGGGGTGGGTGGGGGTGGGTGGGAACCCTAATATTCTCTTTTCACGATAATATCTTCAAGTACAATATTTATCATATTTGATATTATCCCAATTACCCCCCTAAGTTGGAGCATACGGATCACAAATGCCCAACTTGCGGAGTAGATTATCAAATTTAACCTTTCCCAAGACCTTTAGATACATATGACGGACTAATCGTGCCATCAATCACACCGCTCACAAAATGACAATTTGCCTCTATATGCTTGAATTGTTAATGAAACATTGGATTTTGAGCACTATATAAAGCGGATTGATCGATTGTCACAATAAAGGCGCATGCCATTTTCAAGTCGAACACCTAAATCTTCAAGAAGTTGTTTCAACAATTTTAATTCACAGGTCACATCACATGTGAGTGAAAGTATTGTCCTACATTGATTGCCCATATGATTTTGATATGAAACCTCATTAGTCATATAAAATGAACAGTTGTGACGGTATGGCTCAGGCCCGTTTATCGCACTCTAATCGTTTAACAAAGTATAACATATGTTAGAGCCATAAACTTTTCTGAGCTCATAAGCCCAATAGCTTATTACGCTGGGCCTTCAATCCAATATGCTTTATAGTACGCCTCAATATGATGTTATTGTTCGAAAATGTGATCACTCCTTGTCACTCACATATTTGAGAGATTAATCCATGATTTTTTTTCACTTACATAGATTAATCCATCATAATACAGTAATATATTCCACATTTGTAGTTGTTATAAACTTGCATACGTTAGCTATTAAGTTGTCGAATCATTTGAAGTTGGAGCCTTTAACCATTTTTTGGTAATTTGATCTACGTTACATTGTTATTACTCGGACCTTTTATTTGTATGGACCCTTCGACATTTCATTTTTAAAATCATAAATAAATTTTACAATCTAGCCAAATTAGACACTTGAACATGTTGTCCGACCCTTCACTCATACTTGCAACATAGTTTCATGATACATGATTTAAAGAAGCCATTAGAGTAATTAAGTGTACGTACCAATACATCAAGATATATCAATTAAGCACCATCAAGAGAAAAAAGGAAGGTATTATGCTTAGTAGTACATAAGTAAAAGAGCTACAAAAGAAAAGATAAAACCACAGTACATAATTTATTGGAGATCTACCCGTTAATCTAAAAATTAATACAAAGTGCAAGCAAGAAAATCCTATTTATTTTCTGTTTTTTTTTTGAAGGAAGAAAATCATATTTATTTGATCATACTACAAATTAAACTTCTCCATTATTTAGCCGGTACCAGAAACACCCAAGTCTTGCTTATTAGGAGGGTCATCTTTACCGGCCCCGAAAACCGGACCGCCTTTACCGGCAGCATCCTCAACCTTATCTTGAAGTTTGTCAATCTCAATCCCCTTGTCATCCTCCCAAGACCTTAACTCAGTCCTTGGCCTACTCTTTTGCACCTGCTCCGGCACCGACTCGTACGTCGTCGCCGTAAAAGACATAGGCGGCTGCGCTCCTTGTGCTCCTGACATTATTCTCGATCACTAGTATAGTAGTATGTATTATGCAAAGATGTTGATAAAGGGTAAGGTAATGGATAATTGGAAACGTAGCAAAGCTACAATGGTATATAGTAGTAGGCTAGTGTACGTTTATAGAAGGTGAAATATAATGATAAGGATGCATGCATGGAAATGATGAGATGAACATAAATAATAAAAGAATGAATAAAGCCATTTATAATTCAAATGCATAAGACTTTCACACGTAAACATGTAGGTGATACTTGGCAATTCATGGTATAAAGATCGATTTTTGAGCTTTGCCACCGCATCAGTTGGCTACTAAAGCTGTGAAGATTTAGTATTACTCGCTCTCTTCAATTCGTACCAAAATAACTCCTCGTAACACAATAACGTGATAGATTTTTTCTCTATTCATATTTTAACTTTGACTTAAAGGTGATTGCTGATCCGGGCCAAGTTTCATGTCAACGTATCCAAAATGCAGGCCTTTCAAAAAAATCAACTACAAACTTTTATAAATCGAGTCGGGCTAGCTTGGTCCTATATTGGGCTAAAAAAATCTACCCAAAACCCGTTCAAATTTGGGTCGAACTGACTTTGATCATCTTTACTTTGACTATATAATAAAGTGTAATGTTATACATAACCTTCAGGGCTAAAAATTAAGAATTCATGTCAAAAACACGCGTAAATCAGTGTAATTAATGTCTTTGGAATTTGTTGAGTAATTAAGTTTTGATGATTGTAAATTAATGATGAATATCTATCTAATGTGTTTGTTAAGTTGTGCGTAGAAAGAACATGTTATGCTTGGAACATGATATAAGGAACCTAAGCATGTCAAGTATATATATATATATATATATATATATATATATATATATATATATATATATATATATATATATATATATATATATATATATATATATGAGAAAATGTCAAGTATATATATAAGGAACCTGAGCAAATATGATAAGCAATAGAGAAACAAGAAAAATGATGAGTGTCATGGTTGATAAGCATGATGATGGCTAAAGAACCATGAAGGTAATTATGTACATAGGTGTTTGCATAAGTTAACTTCATGAGATAAGTACACTATGCATACATGAGTTGTATATGTGTAGAAGTATTTACATAAGCTTTAAGTTTAATTAGTTCTCTCACTTGAAGTTTGTTTATGACAAACAAACTTCAATCTAATGTTTCTCTTAAGTGTTTATGTGAAGACAAGAACTGACTTAGGTGAAGGCAATGGGTTGGAACATAGAAGACTTCAAGAGGAATAAGAGAGAATGAATGAACCTAAAGCAGGTTCTCCCATGAGAACCAAACCACGAAGGAACTTGAAGGTATTCTCTAACAAGATCTAGAAGGAACTTTCGACAGGCTTTCCCACGAAAGCCGGAGCATGTTCCCTAACAGGTACATGAGGTGTTCCTTAATAGGAATACATAAGGAGTTCCCTAACAGGAACTTCACAACGGGTTGTAACGACCTGGTTCCGGTGTAATGCTAGGGCAAAACCCAAGATCTAGAATACATCAAGACTACAAGATCCCAGAACAAGAGTTTCAGAGAAACAACATGAAGACGGAGAAATCGAAGTATATCGCTCTAGGATTCATGTAAGTATGTTGGACATAAAAGTAAGTCTGGAACAAGTCTATAAAACCAAGGTGAACTCTAAACAGTCAATGAAATTAGAGTTACTGACTTGTCAAGAACTCAGAGTTCTAGAACTAACCTAATCAGAACTTAAGTCTGCACGTCATTAAAGGTCGGTTTAATGATATAAATATTTACCTAATACATGCATATCTTTTAGGGATTTGGTTTTACAGAATAAAGATATTTATTTTCTAATAATTCCCTTTTGGAAAAAGATAAGTTATTTTTGAAAAGTATTTTCAGCAAAATAAGTTATAAATAAAATTTGATTTTATGGTAAGTATATCTTTTGTAAAAAGATAAGCTAGTATATTTGGAAAATATAAGAGTTAAGTAAAATATGATTTTATGGAAAATATTTCTTTTATTAATGACAAAATATATTCTTAACAAAAGATATATTTTGGAAAACTTATTTATGGAAAATATCTTTATTCATATCTTTTGTTAAAACTTGTTTTTACGAAAAGAATAATTTTGGTGTACTATAAATATATGTTCATATGTATTCCTTCAAAGTTGAGGATGACGATGACGAAACTTAGTGGTTGTGCTTAATGGTTTCATCCTTCACCACGAAGCTAAGTCAAACCTCCAGGTCAAAGTTCCAATCAAGTTTGGTTTCAGTTCGTCCAGTAAGTTCCAGACAGATCTTGAGTGTCCAACATATTAGTTTTATCTCTTTATTCATTGATATGTATTTAGAGTTATTCTTTGAGATCTTGTAATTGGGAAAAAGGATTTTGAGTGTTTTATGTATTGGGGTGTGAGGAGTTTGAAAGTCTCTAAAATTCGAGTTGTAGCTGTGAGAGCACAGTGATTGAGCTTCTTGTGTGAAGCCGAGTGTAGGCACTTCAGGAGTGTTGAGTGAATCTAAGTGTGGGGCTTAGGTTGGGTAGGATAGGGTCCTATCAAGTAGCAAGTGTCCTTGGTGGAACTTGTGAGAAAGGTCCGTGTATAATAGGATGTAACTAAGTGTTTTTCCCTATTATTAGGGATGGCAATGGATCTGGACCTGACCCGGATCCGTGGATCCAGATCCGTTTTTCACGGATCTGGGTCTTCAAATTTTGGAACCGACGGATCCGGGCCGGATTCGGGTCCCGCTGACAAAAACGGATCTGGATCTGGGTCTGGGCCCTAGACCCGGATCCAGATCCGTGGACCCGTTTTTTTTATTTTTCCTATTAAAAAAAACTAAAATTGTTTGTTTCTTTATTAAAAATGTTGCTAATGTTAGTAATGATAAAGATTAACCCTTTCAAGAGATGAATTTTGGATGTTCATATTTTATACATCATCGTTGTTTTTTCACTAGCTCATATGTAACATCGTATTTTTTTTGTTGTTTATAATTTTAATTCAAAATATGAGTGTATAAGTTGTTTAATTTGGGGTTGAACTTAATAACCAACAACGTAAGTTTGAAATAAATTTTTTGACCCGAACATTACATTTATTGCAAAAAATTAGTCAAAATATATTGGACCCGTTTGGGACCCGGATCCGGATCCGGGTATTCATTTTCTAGACCCGACGGATCCGAGTTGGATCTGGATCCTATATACGAAAACGAATCTGGATCCGGGTCCATCCGGACCGATCCAGATCCGACCCGTTGCCATCCCTACCTATTATAGTGAAGTGGTTGTGTTGAAATCCCTTGGAGGGTCGAGGTTTTACTTCCAGTTGGGCCCTGGATGGTTTCCTCGTAAAATCCGCTTTGCATATATTGTCTAAGTTCCTAACAACAATCAATTTTATATTCCGCGAAAAGTAGGCACTAGGAACATACTACAATTCACCCCCCTCTTGTAGTATGTCATTCGAAATAACAGAATTATTTTCTAAATTTAAACAATTTTCAAGAGTGTTTTAAATGCTTACTAGTGAGTAGCGAGAGCCCAACGTTGTCCTAGGTTACTACTTTTGTAATTGTGCAACTGCTAATTTTTAAGAGCATTCTAAAAGTTTGTATGTAGTATATGTGTCTTCAATACTTTATGCTATAATATATATAGTGTTCAATGTTGAAGCATAAATGACAATTAGCCTAGATTATGGTTAAACACTAACGTTTCTTCTAAGATGTCGAGTGTTCGAATCTTCTCATCCATAATTTTTTTTCATATATATAAATATAATAATTTTCATTTATATTTAAGTACATAAAAATAAGGTCAACTTAGTATTTCGTCATGTGTACAATATTACTCCATCGGCTTTTTAGTATCATGTTTTGACTGCCACATAGTTTTAGGTGATGTAATTGACTTTAATACGGATTATCGAAAGATCTAAATAGTGTAGTTTGAGTCAGATTATGACACGTCCAGAAGTACATGAAACCCATCACATTTGCCATTTTCCTGATGGGTTTTTTTTTTTTTTTTAATCGTAACAATATTTTCAACCATTCCGAGTAAGTAAATGGCTCAATAAATTCAGTTGCTAATAATTAGTTTACCTTGGCAAGTTGGCATGTATCGCTTCCAACTTCTTAATAGAGAAGCTTAGATAATTATGATTCCGGTTCTAATTGCGGATACCCAGAATTCATGGCTATCGTCGTTAACACTTGTGTAAATTATGGGATAAATTTACTATTATACCCCTTGCCCCTTGGCTTGGGACCTTGCAAGTTGCAAAGCCCCGGGGTTTAGTGTCACATACATTCACACAAGCATCATATAGACATTAGACACCCCAACCCCAACCCCAACCCCGAAGTAGTTGAAGAAGCTTGAAAAAGACCTGAAAATGGTGTTTGGAACAGCAATAAGGTTATTGATTGCCAAGAAACCAAAGCCAAAAATGAAACCAGTCGAACTCAAATCTCAACAACCAGAACAAAATCAAACCATTACCCGCGCCATCTTTGACATCCTCAAGGACCACGGTCCTCTCACTATCGCTCAAACCTGGGAACGACTTCAGGTTCCTCTCTCTCCCTCTTTTTTCAATTACTTTTTTCATCGAATGCTAATCATTTGATGGTTATTTCGGGATAATATAAGATTATTGGACTATTTTTGTTACTATGTGAATGTAATTGCTGATTAATCGTTGATTTCGTGATAATTTTGTTCATTATTTGATTAATAGTATGTAATGCTTTCTTCATACAATTGAATTGCTGATCATTTTTTTGCTTTTGGGAGTTAATTTATTTGATTTTGGGATGTTAATTTTGTAACTAAGAATTGTTGGTTTTCAGCGGCTTTTGTTGTGATTTTGAAGTGAATTAAAGTCTATAATTTCACAGAAAAACGATATTTCTAAGATTTCACCAAGATAAAATAAAAAAAATAAGTTTCTTGGCTTGTCTAATAAAGGTTGATCAGGTCCAATTAGGCGTATACATGAGGTGAAATGAGGGCTGATCAAGTCCAATATTTTAGTGTTGATTTTCTGTATAATCTACAACATTGTCACGTTAATAGTTCAAATTACACCGTCAATCTGTGTAAATAACGGTTTCGGGTGGAGGGAGGACTGCCCTACTCTTGAAGAAGCAGTGGAAGCTAAATTTGATACTATAAGGCTAAATATATCAATTTTCCCTTGCTTCGATGCTCTAAATTGTTGGTGATTTAGATTTTCGATGCTAAAGCTGTTACTAATCGTGTATATTTTGATCATATATGTGTGTCTATAGAATCGGCTTGTACATTGTATAAGAAATCTTGCCTCAAACCTGAAATTTTTTCTTGTTTTCTTTGTTGTGTGGCATGTGTGCCTAATTTGGTGTTCTGATTGATTAGGGAGCATTGGCTGCTGTAATTTTAACATAGTTCTGTTATATGATTGGAGATTTTGATGCATTCTAAAAGTGGAAATCGTTACAAACATTTTAAAGATTTAAAGCTTGTCCATAATGTTTTCATTGTTCCAAGTTCTGATGCTGTTGTAAGGTTACTTCGTATTTTCAAGATAAGGATCATGGCTTGTTTGGCTGCTCTAGATCTGTTGCTGTAACTTTCAGGCACTTTTAACACAATTTGTCTGAATGAGTAATGTTTGATTATTATCTTTTTACTTTGGTATCTAATTATTGTCTTATTGGTTTATCATCTAATGAAATTTTGTCAAAAGTTTGATAGCTAACTATTTGAGCATTGCCTTCTAGCTTCCATAATCACGAATCTTTTTTCATGTGGATTGTGAACACAATTACTTGGGCAGTTGAGGAGCTCATGGTTCACCATTTCCTAAGTTCAATCTTCATTCTCAAGTTTCTATTATGTGATTGCTAATAAGATTTTTGTGTAATTTCAGAGTGTTGATTATTCATAGTTTATGTTTAAAGTGTTAATTTAGTAGTTTGAATAATCATGTGTTTGCTTAAACATTTAAAAGTGTCTTTTATAGACTGGGATTTGAGTAAGTGATATATCCTGAAAGGGTTTGAGAATATGCTCTCTAGCTACTAGATTGTACAAAGTACTCCATATTTGTTTTGTTCATTATTTATTTATGTATGTATGGAAAAAGGAATACTAGCAACTCGTTTTAACCAAGCTGTAATACCTTTCAGGAAGTTGGTTTGAAGGAACTAACAAGCAAGACGCACATGAAAACAGTTATGAGGTGGATGCGAGAGAGACAAAAACTTAAAATGATTTGTAACCATGTTGGGCCTCATAAGCAATTTCTGTATACCACTTGGTTCACAAAGGCAAATATTAAGCCTGCAAAACCCGGAAGTTGTGCCTCAAAGGAGTAAGATATGTGCATCGCCATTAGTGTACCGCTCAAGATTCATTCAGGCTTTGGAAACCTTTTTGTGTCAAGCCAGGCTTGGCTTCTAAATCAAGGCTTTGATCAAGACGCTTTTTTCATATGTATCTAGCAGTCGTAAATACACGTTCATGGATGTTATGAACTTCATTTCTCCTGTAGCCTGTAGTCCTGTACCTATACCCTTTATTTTTTTTGACACAAGTAAAATACAAATAGCAAAATCAATGAACGGGAAGCTAATCAAGGAAATTTTTTGTTCGTTGCCTATGAAGACTATGGTTGGTTATAACTTGTAAACTAACAAATCCCTAAATGGAGGACAATTTGTTGGACATTGTATCTTGAGGATGCTAAAATCTCTTATCATTTTTACACATGATATAATTGAGCGTTTGATTTTGAAAAATATTTAAGGGGCCAAGATTTGAACTATCTCACTCAAAATGCCACAAAATTAGTTGATTTATTATTTACATTTCATATTAATAGAATATTTTTGGTGAACAGATTTCATTTTTTTTGGTTAAGAAAGCGAAATTGCAGAGATGTTAGCAATTATGCAATGTTCAACTCATAAGTTTGATGAAAGGGGGTTATCTTTCTTCATCTTTCTTCTTAGTTATTTTTCTTTCTTTCCTGCTCCTTATTTTTCCTTTAATTTGTTTTCTTCTGTTATTTTTCCTTTGACTGGTTGAGACAGCCAGCTGTCCTTTTCCGTGTAATAGGGTAATCCTCCTAGGGATTGGTGTGCTGATGTATATAAAGGGAATGATTGTGATGTACACAGTGATGATTTCAGAACAAGAATGAAATAGAAAAAGACTGAAACTTTCCCTGCTTTATTTCTCTGCTCTTCTCAACATTCTTCATATTAAATCTATCTTTCTCTTCATGGTATCAGAGCCAGGTTGCTAATTTTGGCAAAAATTTCACGCATTTTTTTCCAGATTTCCCTTAAAGTCTCGGTCTTTCTGCCTTCTCCCTTCTTTCCTTCTCAAAGCTTCAAGATTTTAGCTTTTGTTCTTCAAGATGTCAAAGATCTCTCTTGCGGATATGCAGAATCCTCTGTATCTGCATCCAGGTGATGGTCATAACTCGGTATCTGTTGATAAGCTGACTGGAGCTGCAAACTACAAAGAGTGGAGAAGATCTATGGAGATAGTGCTGGCCTCTAAGAGAAAGTTGGGATTTGTAACTGGATTAGTGAAGAAGGATGCTGAAGATGAAGTGAAAGCAGATCAGTGGGATACCTGCAACAATATGGTGATTGCTTAGCTGATGTCATGCATGAGTGACTCCATCAAAAGGTCTGTGTTGTTCTTAAACACTGCAAGAGATGTGTGGAAGAAAATGGAAATTAGATTTTCTCAGACCAATGGAGCTAGAAAATACAAGTTGTGCAGAGATGTCTATGACCTGAAACAAAATGGTCGAAGTCTGAGTGACTATTATACTGAGATGAGTTCTCTCTGGGAGGAGATTGAAGGGCTGAACTTACTACCACCAATAACTGAGATGAACAGTGAGGTGAATGCTTTTGTGAGTGCTCTCAATCAGCAGAAGGATGAACAACATCTTTTTCAATTTCTCAATGGTTTGGATGAAGACTATACTGCATTGAGAAGTCAGATTCTTATGCAATCCCCTCTACCAACTGTGGAACTTGCTTGTGCTCAAATACAACAAGAAGAATCTCAACGTGAAACCCTGAAGGGAGGAGGAAAACCAGATCCTGAACCACCTACTGTTATGTATGGGAAAGGAGGAAATGAGGAAGGATATTCAGTGTGTGGTAACAAATCTCACACTGCTGAACACTGTTGGAAGGTGATAGCATATCCTTCATGGCATCCTCAGTACAAAAAGCAGCAGAGGCAGAAAGGAAAGGAAGGCAACTCAGGAGCAAAATGGAACAAAAGAAAATCATTCAATGGTCAAAAAAACTGCAGCTAATGCTCAGACTCAGGAAGAGAGTGTATCTATCACAGCTCAGCAGTTGGAGCAGTTACTAAAGCTGGTGCCATCAAGCTCTAAGACAGGCTATGGCACTGAAGAAGAGATAGAGTCTGGATTTGCAGGTATGATTAATTGTAACAATGCTTCTAGTAGTATGAATGAATGGATATTGGACTCAGGGGCAAGTGATCATATGATTTCTGATGATAAATTGCTTGATGAATTTGTACCTGTGAAAGGGAACACAAAAATTAATTTGCCAAATGGTGGGACTGCAAAAATAACTCACATAGGCAATGTTTTGTTAAAAAATGGCCTGCATCTTAAAAATGTACTGTGTGTACCTGAATTTAAGCACAATCTTCTGTCAATACATAAATTGGTGAGAGATGAAAAGTACATTGTTGAATTCCAACCTGAATTGTGTGTTATTCAGGACTCAGTCACTCTGAAAACTAGGGCACTTGGGAGAGCTAGCCATGGACTATACTATCTGATGAATGATAATCTTGATTTTGCAAGCAAGAAGAAGAATGCAGAGGTGAAAAGAAATAATGGCTCGAAAGAAGAACTAGTGATTCTGAAAAAAGGAATTTTGCTGAATGTAATGTAGCTAGTGTAGATTAGTGTACTTTGTGGCATAATAGGCTGGGGCATGCTCCATTTGAGAAACTTGTTAAAATTGGGTGTGTCTCAGGAAGATGTAAGAACAATTCAATTTGCTTAATCTGTCCAATGGCTAGATTTACTAAACTTCCTTATCATGTGAGTGATGCTTGTGCCAAATCTGTGTTTGAATTGATACATATTGATATATGGGGGCCATATAAGGTGGCTGCTCGAGGAAATAATAAATATTTTCCCACTATTGTTGATGATTACTCTAGAGCCACTTGGGTTCAGCCGCTGAAATCAAAATCTGAAGCTTAAAGTGCTATTAGGAAGTTTATGTTGTTTGCAAAAAATCAATTCGATGCAGCTGTAAAAATTATTAAGTCTGATAATGCGTTAGAATTTGATGATACTAAGTGCAGAGAGTACTTTGGGAATCTGGGCATTAGACATCAAAAATCTTGTGTTGACAGACCGCAGCAGAATGGCAGAGTTGAAAGAAAGCATAGAAATGTGCTTGAAATGGCTAGGGCTTTAAGATTTCAAGTAGGCTTAGCCCTGAGGTACTGGGGTGATTGTGTGTTAACAACAACCTATATCATAAATAGGTTTCCTAATTCAGTGCGAGGAAATAAAACTCCATATGAATTGATTTTTGGATAGAACCCGAATTATGCATGTATGAAAGCATTTGGTTGTCTTGCTATTGCTTATAACCCAAATTTGATGGGTGACAAATTCAAACCCAGAGGTGTACCATGTGTTTTCCTGGGATATCCACAAGACACCAAGGGTTATAAGGTGATGAATTTGTTGAATATGCAATGCTTTGTGTCTAGACATGTGAAATTCTACAAGCATATTTTCCCATTTAACAAAGCCAACAGCACGGGCAGTTACAACACACCTCTACCGATCTCCATGCATGAGTTGAGTCATGATGGTGGTCATGAAAGTGGCCAATTAGCACCTGATATGGATCAAATATCGGTTTATGATGAGGAAACTGAAAATGATCCAGTTTTGAATCATGAGACAGAAGATCCTGATGCTCAACAATATAAAGAAATCATCACTGAAACAATTCCAGACACTCCAGATTAACCTACATACACTTAAGAGTCTCATCATGATACTCAGCAAACCCCTCCTGAAACTCATTTAAGAAGATCAACCAGGCCACATAGATCACCAAAGTGGCTGATGGGATATGATCGCAGAGTGGGTGTGAAGAGAAGAAAAACACAAAGAAGAGAAGCTGAAGTGAATGCTGCTCCAGTGGTGAACTTTGTAATGACACCGGTGAGACCTGAATTTGTTGCTTATTTGAGCCAAGCTGAGAAGATTCAAGACCCTGTGCATTTTAAAGAAGCAGTTAAAAATGAAAAATGGGTTGCTGCCATGAATGAGGAGTTGCAAGCACTGGAAAGCAATGACACATGGGAGATGGCTGAGTTACCAAGTGGAAAAAAGGCCATGGGGTGCAAATGGTTGTATAAGACAAAGTACAACCCAGATGGAAGTGTTGAAAGAAATAAAGCTAGACTTGTGATATTGGGGTGCAGACAGAGATATGGAATAGACTATGAGGAAACGTTTGCTCCAGTTGCTAAGATGACAACTGTAAGATCAATTCTAGCTGTAGCTGCTATGGAGAATTGGGAAGTATGCCAAATGGATGTCAAAAATGCCTTTTTACATGGAGATCTCATTGAAGATGTGTACATGACTCTCACAGTAGGCTACACAGGATGGAATAGTAGGGTTCATGTAAACAGCATTGTGAAGCACCAGAGCACAAACAAGAAGCAACTAGTGTGCAAATTGAAGAAATCACTGTATGGCTTGAAGCAGGCACCCAGGAAATGGTTCTTTAAACTATCCACAGTCTTGAAAGACTATGGATTTATTCAATCCAAAATAGATTACTCTTTATTTACTCGAAGTGAGGGGGAGAGTTTGGTGATTGTCTTAGTCTATGTCGATGACCTTCTGATAGCAGGGAATGATCATACATCAATACAAAAGGTTAAAGCCTTTCTTTCATCCACCTTCCACATGAAAGACATGGGAGCTCTTAGGTATTTTCTGGGCATAGAAGCTGACAGAACAGAACAAGGTATTTTTCTATCTCAAAAGAAGTATGCTCATGACTTGATAAAGGAATATGGTATGCATAAATCTAGGGTTGTTAGAGTACCTATGGAAGCTCACACAAAATTGACACCAGAGCTGGGGGATCCTTTATCAGAACCAACTGAGTACCAAAGATTAGTGGGGAAACTCATATACTTGACCATTACCAGATCAGACATAGCCTATGTTGTTCATATTTTAAGTCAGTTTATGCACAAACCGACTACAAGTCACATGCAAGCTGCAAAAAGGGTGCTCAGATATATCAATTATGCTCCTGGACAAGGAGTCTTATTAGCTTCTAAATCTGCTGCTCTCCTCACAGCTTATACTGACAACAACTGGGCAGGGTGTCCTATGTCAAGAAGATCAACAACTGGGTTCTGTGTCCTACTAGGCTCCTCAGCGATCTCATGGAAATCCAAGAAGCAAACAACAATTGCTAAATCCTCCGCTCACTCAATTGTTGAAAGATTTGGGGCTGAAGAATCTTGGTCCTGTAATTTTGAATTGTGACAACAAGGCAGCATTATCCATAGCTGCCAATCCAGTCCACCACGAAAGGACTAAACACATTGAAGTTGATTGTCACTTCATTAGAGACAAAATTAATGAAGGTTGCATCAAAACTCAATACACCCCTTCAGGAGAGCAATTGGCTGACATATTCACCAAGACATTCACTATTTCTCAACAGCAGCTCTTACTTCCCAAGCTTGGTGTTCGATTCTCTCACACCTAGCTTGAGGGGGAGTGATGAAAGGGGGTTATCTTTCTTCTTAGTTATTTTTCTTTCTTTTCTGCTCCTTATTTTTCCTTTAATTTGTTTTCTTCTGTTATTTTTCCTTTGACTGGTTGAGACAGCCATCTGTCCTTTTCCGTGTATTAGGGTAATCCTCCTAGGGATTGGTGTGCTGATGTATATAAAGGGAATAATTGTGATGTACGCAGTGATGATTTCAGAACAAGAATGAAATAGAAAAAGACTGAAACTTTCCCTGCTTTATTTCTCTGCTCTTCTCAACATTCTTCATATTAAATCTGTATTTCTCTTCAAAGTTAGATCATGTTACCAATAATTTTCATGTATGTCGTTCGATCCATTGTTTCACTTGAATATTCACTTCAACTGGAAAACAACCGCATTGAAGAAAATACTGATGATGGTGCCTAATTGCCTATGGTTCAGATAACTCTCTTTATATCCTATGTTACGTCTCTAGTTGGTTTTTTGCCCACCAAAGAAGACACCATGGAACACTGAACTAAGTACTACAAATGTATTCGTACTTTCGATAGTGGTTTGTGCAACCTTTTGTATGCCAATGACACTATTGTTGATGAAGGTGTATGTGTTATATTAAACTCAAATTTAATGACAACATCAAATTCACTATTCACCTTTATAACCCTTTCATATGTCACTTGATTAATTCCATACACACTATCCCACTTAATTACATAAAGATTAACCGCATATATTGTTTCACCGGAATTCAATAAAGCCCACAAAATTAGCAAGTAAATCCAACATATGAAATTACGAAGTTAACCCCGTCAATAAAAAAAAATTATGAAGTGAACAAAGTATATTTGGTATATCTAGACTATTGGGGTAGTTTATCCTAAGAGCTTGTTTGGTTGCAATGGGAAGTTATTTCCCAAAGGAATTTGTAATACATGGGAATTTAATTACTACGTGAAATTCCTAGGAATTGGCTTAAAGTTGTTTGGTTGATACTTGGAAATTTTAACTTCCTAGGATTTTACTTCCCCTATCTTGTTTGGTTCACTTGCTACATTTCCCATGTATTTTAACAAACTTAACTACCTTTTATCATTCATTCATGGCAACTTCTCCTATCTTGTTTGGGAATTTTTTTTTTATTTTTTTATATATTTTTTTTAAATTCATGGTAGCTTCATGCTCCACTGATCTAATCCACTGTATCAAAACTTAATCATATGGAAACTAAATGCTCCACTAGTCCACATAAGCGTAAAAATAAACATCACTTTTCAACCTAAAATCATCAATATCAAATTAAAAAGATGAGTCATGAAGTATTGTTTCTTCCTTCCCTTACAAAAGATACATTATACTTTACAAAAGAGTTAACCTGATGAAAGCCATAAAATGTCACGTTACGAGCATTACAAAAAATTTACATTTAATCTTGCTATTTTAAATCATAGTAAGTTGCACAAAATATTATAACCAGCATAACAACAATAGTAAATTAGCCGACACATATATTGGTGTCGTATAGTACTGTATCATCACAAAAAGTAACAATAATAGTCCTGCTAATTAACAGAGCTCATATGATCCTTTTATGTACTAGTCCCTTCTTCATAGTATACTTGCAAAAATTCTTTTAATTGGGAATCATCAAAACTTGGACATAAGCATATTTGTAGTCGTCTGGAAGGCTGAAAAAGAAATCGACTTCAAGAGGATTAAGAGCAATCTTCTTTGAGACTGTAAGAACCTCATTTGGAGATAATCCCTCCATTTTCATGATTTCACTTGTCACTTTCACTCTTCTCTCTGCAGCATTAGACTCATGTTGAAAACAACAAGCAAGACGACCAATATGTTCACTTGCACCTTCCATCACTTCACTAATTTTTGCAAGCTTGGTCGAAAAGTCTTTTAAGGCTTCAATGGTTTTCGTCCTTGCTCTCTTTGTCTTGGTAGTAGATCGTGTTGCTGATGGTCATTCAGAAGTTGGACTAGGTTCCTCTTCATTACAGTGGAGTTCTTGTTCTTCTCCACCTCTCTTTTCTTGCTCCATCTCCTCAAGCACATCAAACACACTTTCAGCTTCATTTCCCACTGCTCTGTCTTTGCCAAAAATCTTT